ATCATAAATTTCTCATCCAAGTCTTATTTTGAAGATAATCCAATTTCCTACAACTCATATTCAGCTCTCAAGTTCAAGAAATGCACTCATGAAAAGATATAAGTTCAGACATTATAGGTCCTTTTCAAAAGTCAACAAAAACATCTTTTGGGTCAAAGCTTCTTACATGAACATGGAAGATCTAATGGAGATGAAACAAAAAGGGTTGTTTATAGGACATCCTAAGATTTATAAAAAGTCCAAGAACATCCTCTTAGGGTCAAAATTGAGAGAGATATGCATTGTCAAAGTTGGCCATTTTTAGAAATTTGCACAAAGTCAACAAGGCCCAAAATTGTATTTTTTCCACATGGGCCCATCTTTTCAAGATTGAAACTCAGTCCTAGCATGGTCCACGACCTATGGGACCCTCCACGCCTTATTCCCTTATTTATTTAATTTATTTTGATTTTATTTATTTAAAACTCAAATAAAATCAAATTAAATAAAAAATAAATCAAATAAATGGGATAAGTTTTGTTTTGGAATTGATTGAATATCTCATGAGCTGTCAAATAAAGAACAAAATCGTGCAGGCTCCAAAACAAGAGGAAATCTCCATGTTTGGAAAGATTGGAATCAAAATTCAAGACCTTAACATCTTTTGATTCTTTCCAATTCTATTACCCTAGATTGATTCTACTACATATAACAAAGTATTTGCAAACCTAAGGACAAGTTTTTATGCACCTCCTGCCTCCCACAAAGCAAGACAAAAGTACAAACTTTTTGTCAAAAAGTGTTGATCACACATCCCTCCATAGGCCGTTTCAAGCAATTCCGAAGACACAACAACACTCTTGGACATTCACTGAAGCTATCCCACTCATTCCCAAGCCTCAAAGCATCAAGAATCAGGCGTAAGAACAGTCACAATTTGCTCTTCTTCTGAAAATCGTTTTCCTTAATTCTGGAATTATCAACATGTTTTAATCATTTATTCATGCTTATTATCATGTTTGCAATATGTTTGGATGATTTGATTTGAGTTTATGCGCAGGAATCATGAAAAGCCATTCTTAGGGTTTCAAAGCATGTTTTAGGGCTTTTTGGTACATGTTAAATTAGGCAAAACCAAGGGTATATTTTGGCTCAGTGGTTGATTTCCAATCGACCCATGCCCTTGGTTGGGATTTATCATGCCTATGCTGCATTTTGGAGATATACAAGTTTATAGAAATGGACATGTCCGTAGGTATAGGTCTGGGTCTAAAATGACGGTTCTGCAAGGAAGACGATGGCGTGTCAAAACCTGAGTGGCCAGTTTGAATGGCACGCGTTTTTTCTTATAACACTGACTCATTATTAATTATATTATATGTTGTTTGTTTATATCAACGAATAACAAGCTAGCTCAGTGGTACAGGCGAAGGGTTTCAGGGCGCGCACGTGTAGGAGGTTAGGGGTTTGATCTCTGCCTCCTACATAATATTTTTCTCACAATTTCTTTGCAGATCCAGTAGTACCACTCTAAACATGCTCACCATACACCTCAACATCTCATGCCTTGGATCATCCACTGATCAGATCCAACATACTGCAAGCTAGGAGCATGGTAGACCCTCCAAAGGTGATCCCCACTGGATCAGACGCAGTCATAGGGCTAGCAATCTTGGGCCTAACACAAATTCAATTCTGCACCCCCAGAATCACTTCCAACATCAGGCCCATTTTAATTTTTGTTTTAATTTCTTTAACTTTTTTTATTGTTTTATTTATTTTTAATTGTTTTAAAAATATTTTTTTAAATCTAAAAATCATAAAAACACAAAAAACATTAGAATTAGGTTTTTCATAAAATATTTAATTTTATTAATTAATTAGGTTAATTAGGATAATTTAAATTCCTTTTTCATAATTAAAGTTAATTAGAAATTAGGTTAATTTTCAAAATTAATTACTTTCTCAAAAATCCAAAAATATTATTCTTCTAAATCAAATAGATTCGTTAAACTTTAATTCCTCGTTTAATTTATTCTAGCGCGCATTTACTTATTTATTTTTCTAATTATTGTATCTGTTTCGAGTTTGTAATAACTTTTAACTTAGGTTTATTACCATTTTCATTTACTGTTTTTCCCAAGTTTTTGATTATGTAATCCCCCTCCCCAAAGCCTTGTAATAACTAGGTTTAAATTTATCACAGTTTACTTTCCGTCATTATAAACTGTTAGATGATTGATAATAGGATTGTATGCGAAAGATAAATCAATAATTTAAAACAGTAGAAAACCCCTAATTGTGCAAAGATAATTAACTAAAAAATAAACACTTGCACATGCTCACTCCTAGGGTTATTCCCCACTTCGGTTGCCTTCAGAAAACGGTCACTATTCTCGAAACGTGAGAATTTTTAGTGGCTGTCCTCTAATTCGAAAGATCACTAGTCCCTCGATGACCCTTTCGACGTTGCCTCGGTAAAAAAGTGATCTTAGAGTTTTAGGACAATTACTAAGAGATCTTGCCCTGTTGCCTTAAGTGACCGTAATCGTCCCTTTCGATTGTCCCTTAAACTTCAACGATGGAGCTACCTACTCCGTAATAGTAGGATAGCGCTGTCTAAAGGAAATAAGAAAAATGAACAGTCTTTTTCGAGTAGGTATAAACTCTTAAGTACTTGCTCAAAATAATCTTTTACACCATACACTTTCAAACAAACTTTTCAAACTAAAGTTTTCAAAAACACTTTATCACACCCTTGAGGACTGATACAAGGGTTACCATAAAGTGAAACACCGCACTAAGGCATTTTCAAAACATTTTCAAAAACACAAAAACACAAAAGTAATTTAAAAATGAGCAAGTACCTAAGAGCCCGTGGAAAACCATGGATAGAAAGGGTGCTAACACCTTCCCTTTCTATAATCTACCCCCTGTACTCAGAAACATCTCGAAAAAGGTTTTTTATGTTCTTTTTCTCTTTTTCTTTGTTGGATAAAATAAAGACGGTGGCGACTCTTGCTTACCGTACATGTGCGAACAAAAAACGTAAAACTAGTAGTAGCAAAAAACAGTCAGTTCTGCCACCTATCACAAGAGGCCTCAAAGAATATTCTGATTAGCATATGACTCCAACCAGGTCAACCTTCCTCTTTAAGGAAAGTAAAATCTCGATGCGCACATGATGAAATATTTTGAAACAACATGATACATATTCACTCCATAGACGACAATAAAGGATTAAAATCCAAATTAAGATATTGACCCGAGAAGGCCTTTGTAAAAGTATGTGAAAAAGAAAGACCAACCCAAAGATTCAAATAAGTCTCTACCTCGGAGGACATGCTCCATATCTCCTAACCTCAGAGAAAGCCAACAGGTATTAAAAGGATATGCAACACATATGGTATGAAAGGTAGGAGTTTAACACGTTTACTTAAAAATACCAACCTTATATTATGATGATTTATTGGATTAAGGTTTTTCATCAATTCTAGAAAAAGACACATTTGAGTTGCAAAGTTGATATGCACCTTGCAAATGGATTGGGAATGTAATGTCAACTATCATGTTCTCAAAAAGGATTACAAGGGAATATACATACAAAAGACAACTCAATGGTCATCTTGATAGGAACGATGAATTACAATGTATATATATGTCTGGTTGATTAAGGTAATTCATATGATATCATATTCAAAAAATCTAACAAGTAACTAATCTCGCTTGAATTGATCTTCATTCCTTACAGCGGTACCCCGTCAGAGCTATTGAGAGACAATACAAAATTCATGGGATTCCTACAAGTCCTTATAACTTTTACGATCAATGTCAGATCAAATTCAATATAGACCATATTGTTTGTGATTGAAGGAAAGTCAAATTACAAACTCATCACTAAAAGACCAATACTAAACGCACTTGGAGTCAACATGTCAACATCCCACTTAGAGACGTAGTTTTCTTTGGAAAGTGGAAATATTTATACAATACATGCAGAACAATGTGTGGCTAGGTAGTGTTACGTGAAAACCTCAAGAAGAATTGGAAAGAACCACATCGAGATGGGAAAATCGCTAATTATAAGACTTATAGAGAAGAATGTAGTTCATCGATCTTGATCTAAAAAAAGATAATGAACATATACTACAACCCTTTGAAAACTTGAAGGAAATGGAAATAACATGTCCATGAAAGGTTACCAAAGTTGGCACATAACTAACGCACCAGGAAGAGTCTACCTTGATTTAAACACTAAGGACCAACTCATAGTTGTTTACACAGAGTCTAGTAGACATGACAGACATCGACCCCGTTGTAGTCTCTCATTGTTTATCTATTTATCGCATTGCTTAATCTATAGTACAAACGAAAAAAAACTAGCAGAAGAAAAGAGATCACAATTTAGGAAGAAATCCAAAAATGGGAGGGGGGAGGAAATAAGATTTATCAAAAAGATTATTGTTTTCAAGATAAAATGTATACACTCCATCTCTTTATTCCTTTTTAATTATGACCTTTTGACTTTAACCATTTCAAAGGAACAACTTAGGCAAAGAGCTTTAAAAAAATCCTTGTAGTTTGAAACGCAATAAATACATTCATGTTACACTACTTAACTGTCCACTTTCCAACACAATAGTTTTTAACAGACTGTAATGTCCCTCTCTGACTTTCCAAAGGGTAAAATAGAAAATTCACACAAAAAAACACTCTAACATGTTAATCAAACGTTGACTCATCACACATACTAGTACATAAGATCTAAAACACAAACGCTAACAAAGTGCGGTCTTACATCACTTACTATACACTTACACCTACTCTACAATATTCTTCTTCACTATGAATACCCACCAAGCACCCAACAATATCCTTTCTCTTTCTACCTCTGCTTCCTTCTTAGGTATTCTCTATCTCTCTAACCTTTTCTTTTGTTCTTCTTGTGATTTTTAATGATGTTTTTGTTGTTGTTTTTAGGTGTTTTTGTTTAGATTTGTGATTTTTTTTCTCAAGAGAAGATGAATTGCTACTATGGATTCCCACAGATGAACACAATGACAAACAGCTTTGAAGAAGTGAGGATGGAATCTGTGGTTTGTCCTAAGCCTCGTCGATATCCTTCCATCAACCGACCCTTCAGGTGTCCTATTAGGTAATTTCCTATTTTCTTGAACCCTTTTCTTCAATAAAAATCATGTTTTTTAAATTAAAAAATTGTTCTTTTTTTTGTTGATAAAAATCATGTTTTTCTTACTTTTTGTTCCTTGAAAATCAGCTACCAATCTGAGATTGAAGATTCAGAAGTTGGGTCAGAACTTCTTGACATCATTCATCCCAAGGTGTGTTTGTGTTTTTTGCTTTCCTATGCAATCTTCATGTTTATCATAGTACTACTAATAGGTTTTTCCTATGTAACAGAATTGTTTTTTCCTATGTATTGTGTCTTTTTTGAAGAATTAACGTAATAGTTCATGTTGGTTTCTTGTGATACTCAAATTTTGGTGATGATTTATGATAGTTCCTTTTAAAGAATCAAACTTGATTTGTTTGTAGGGAAGCTGCTATCCGGAGAGATCGGCATCTTTGGCGGATAAATTGTTGGCATCATCGCCTCCGTATTTCATTGGATCTCCACCGAGCCGAGCTTCAAACCCTGTAATCCAAGACGAGCGATTCGGTAATGGGAATTTTAGTAGTCCATTTACCGTGGCATCGCCTTCGCCATCGGCTCGAGGATGTGGAGTTCCAATGAAATTCGGCAACACACCGGTTGCTGTTAGGATTGAAGGTTTTGACTGTCTTAGAAGAGATAGAAGGAGTATCTCTGCTGTAGCCTAATCCATTTTTGAAGAAAGAAAAGAAAGATAGAAAATAGAGAGAGAGAACACAACTCAATACCAAGAATCAGCAGAGGAGTTTTGTTTTTGTTTCCTTTGGAAAGAGGATCTAATCTTAATAACTAGTACTGTTTGATGTATATATAATTGTGATGTTTTAAGTTTGATGATGTTAATCAATAAAAGAGAACAAATCAGAGTAAACAAGGTAAGAAAAGAAGCCATTTTCTTCTGTTTTGTTGTTAGGTTTGTGGAGAGTTTAAGGTTGTGTTTTATGTTTACTCATATCCTTCCTATGTAATTGTAATTTGGAGGAAATTGGAATTTTGTACATCATATTATTGTTACTATTATCATAATGAGATTGTTTTTTTTTTTTAATGATTTGTGTTGTGTGGTTGAATGAATGGAATTGTTTGGAAAAGAGGATTAGTATTTGGTGATGTGAAAGGGTACAGAAAAAGTGAGATGAAGATGAGATGATGAGTCAGCTATGTGTCTGATAAGAGCATGTGATTGTGTCATGTGGCAAACACATAATGTGTTGTGGCTTTGATTGTTAGTGGTTGATCTTGAGACATCATATTTAAGGGTCCCATGTGAAGATGAGATTCGTAGTTGCGTAATGCTTTCTCAATTAAAGCATATAAAACTCAGTTATATCAGACGAGTTGGATGGTAATGCCAAACTGTGAAATAAATATCCACTTGCACTTGTCAGTTGCAAGATGAAAAAAAAAAGCCAAAATTAGGTTCAGATGCATGTGGTTCATAGTGGCCACAAAACACACATCTCTATCATAAAACTAGGCGTAATTATCATTTTCCAGCCCAAGCATATACACAATTCATCACTACTGTGAGTATATCAGTTTCTTGAACTTCTGTTACAATTTACAAAACCTGTTTTTCTTTTTATATGACTATGAACACCAAATCTGTTACAATATTATTCACAAAAAATGTCAACAATGTCACTAACAATTCAAGTGTTACAAGTTCCAACATGCCAATGAATTAATTATACAATTATATTTACATGAATCCGAACTCGCTGCAATTCATTTCGGCCATCAATATGAGTTTCATCCGCTCATATTACGCCTTACTCAAAACACCTTCAAATATTCTTCATTGTTAGTTTGAAATCAAATAATCAGGATCAATAACTCCGCAACGCATGTGGAATCTGAATTCATATTTACATGGTACATGTCAAATTGTGACAAGTCTGCAACTTAGTTGTAGCTACTGTCTCCTATTTTACTGCCACCTTTTCGAAGCTTTAATGTGGCTAATACTCGGGCTTTTTGTGAGACCTGAAATCAAATTTACAAAGAATGTTGATAAATCTTAAATCTTAAATCTCCTGAAATCGTATGCGCAAGTGCAAGGATGACTAACACAAATCGAGAAGATTTCATTTTAACTTGCATTTACCTGGTGCTTTCTTCAAGGAGTCCTTATCTATACCCGCATTAGAGGCAATTCGGCCTAATTTCCTTACCGGTTTAGCAGGTTTGGTTAATACTTTAGACCTGCAAGATACAAATCAAAATTTTAGACATGAGTTCTAGTTAATGCATATGTTGTAATAATATAAACACTACCACTCACTTCTTCATGTTATCCGAAGTTTTTCTGTTTTCGCGACTCCTAATGGAGTTATCAGAAGAACCATCAGTTTCGTTGCCCAAAGCAAGACTATGATTGTCAGAGATTTCACTTGATCTATCGTTAAGACCTGTATCTGAAAATCCTTGAGTTTTTCGTCTAGCGTTATCAGATGGATGGAGAAATTCATTTTGATGTATATGGTCGAACATTCGATGTTGGATATCACCTTCAACAAGATGCTTAAAACTTCCACTTGATTGTTTTTGAATTTGCTTAGAAATACCACCAACAGGCGCGTTTAGCGATTTAAGACGCTCAATCTCCTCATCTTTTTTCGAAATCGTGTTCTTCATACAAGTCACCTAGTATAAGATGAAACAAAAGGAAAGCATTTTTATGCATTCATAAAAGCTGAAAAGCACACCATAGAACCATGGCAACATATTCAATTTACAAGAACAAGGTAAAGTGCCTGTTCCATTAATTCTCTCGCCTCCTTGCTATTCCGTGCAGCTCCTAGTTCAATCGAAGAAACTCTCTCAGCAAACTTTAAAGTACTCAGAGTTTCAGAATATGAACTCGCGTCCGAGTTAATTTGGACAAACATCAGAGTCTTTGCTTGACCACCTGTGTAGCGAAATCAAACACAACATTCAAATCAAAATCTAAACCAAAAAGGTAAATAAATGCAATGCATGTTGACACAATGAATGATGAACATTGATTTACCGAGAGAATTTTGCAGAAGTTGAGTAAGCTTGCTGTTTCTATATGGTACATGGGAGCTCTTTTGAGAAAGGGCGAAAATGACATCTCCGAGGGCAGAAAGTGATTTGTTTATATGTTGCGCTTCTCTAAGCCTATCTCCGGTTACTTCAGAACGATCTACTCTTTCACTTCCCGCCAAATCTACCAAATGAAGATTGCCATGCAGAGTAGAACCTGACCTGAAATCCTTCCCACGAACATGAATCGAGACCACACTGCGCAAGTAAAGTTTATACGATGTAAAGCATAAGAGCAAATTAAATTTAATACACAATGAAGCGCAATAGAAAAGAAGATATGCCCGTCTGTCGAGGAAAGAAAGACACGATCTAACCTATGAGAACGGCTACTTCTTTCATTCATAGCGGTCGCGCCAATAGCTCTATTTTTAAGACCAATGTCCATCAACTTAATGACATCTGAAGGTGATTTAACAGGAAACATGCTGGCATCTGGTACTGCTATACCGTTGGATTGAGATTGAGTCAATATCCCAAGTGTGTGCAAATCAAGGAAACCAGAGAAGAAAAAACTAGGCAAAAATAATTCATGCAAAAAAAAAAGAATTTGTCGATAAAGATATTAAAAAAGGATATCTTTTTTGAGAATCGTCGGTTGATAACAAGTCGCGAACTTGCTCGTTATATATCTCTACCATTTGAACCCAAATCTCATAGCCTGTGAAGCCTGCCCTACTTGTGGAAATTCTAAAGAGATCGTTTAGAGCTCGATAATTAACACCAAGATTTTCGTTTGTTGCTCCACTTGGACCAGTCTGAGAAAAGACGATTATTTTGTACTATGAGCATGAAGTATACGATAAGCGAAGTATAAGATAACACGAATATGTCAAGAGGGTTTATTTTATACCATTGTGTAAGTCTTCCCCGAACCTGTTTGGCCGTAAGCGAACATACAGACATTATATCCATCTAGTACCGATCTTACAAAAGGTTGAATATCAGAGTATACATCCCCTATGCAGCATTCAGAGTAGAATAACAGAACAACATCAGAATATCGACATTACAACTAAAAGTAACGGAAAAATTGTAATATGGATACACAGGAAAAAAAAATCTCCATAGCCTAATCTCAAAAACCGGAGAGTATATAGAAATAAACCTTGAGTCACAGAAGGACCGAATATCTTGTTGAACTTAAATGATCGAAGCGCATCTTTCCCTTTGGAGGGATTTTCCACAACCAAATCATTTTCACCTATGTCTTCTATAACTGAATGTGTTTCCTTTTTGCCTGTAAGGAATGGTCTAATTCGACAAAATACTCTGATGTTTCCTGTATAAAAAAACCATCTGTGAATTCGTAGTACACTTACATAAGAGAACACGAGAAGACAGACGCACGTTATGCTACCTTTTAGTTCTTGAATTTCGTTAAACATTTTTTTATTTTCAGCGAGGATGACTTGATAGTTCTGAGATGCATGTATGAGTGGTTTGAGATTTACCCCTGAACAAGTTACATTCGAAATATTAGCGATCGCATTCCAAAAGAAGATTTTGCTAAAATGACATTCTAATGACAAAGGCCTACCTAATCGATTACACTCTTCTGCATAAACCGTTTGCTCGTTCATAACATCTTGCCTAATTGATTCCCAAGATAATTTCAATTTCTGGATGTTTGCAAATCAAGCACAAAATTGTAATGTTTGACACCACAACTATAACATTGACATTGACACATTTTTAAGTGTACCTGTAGGGAACTAAATTGAAAATTTACAACAGCCTGCAATTGGTTCTTTTTCATGTTCCACTCCTGATATTTTGAATCCGAAGAAGTCTCGAGTTCTTTAACCTCATTCCTCAACTCTTCTGATTGATGCTCATATTCTTGAGATTTCTGTCTCAATTCTGCTTTCGCATCTCCAGCTTCGTCTTCCAACTGCGAGCATTGCGTTTCATATTGGCTTTTGGTTGCTTCCAGTTTTTGTGTCAATTCTAAAATTACCAAATTTTTGTCCTCTAGCATTTTCATCAACCGAATCATTTTTTTTTCATTTTCCTTCTTTTCTTCCTCTTTGATCTTCTCAACCTGTATTGAAAGTCAAAACATGAAAATAATCCGATTAAAACCTCGGGTATTATCCTGTCTCTTTCGTATATATCAATATATACGTTGCTTATGATGCAAGTAAGAAACTGTTACCTTCAACTGTTGACGCTGGCTAGCGAAGAATATCTGTGACAAAAGTTCTCTCTGATATCAGTTAGCAAAAAATGAAGGAATATAAAAGATGGACTTGTAAGAAAATTACTAAACAATAACGTTTCGAAATATAAAGGATGGACTTGTAAGAAAATTAGTAAACAATAATGTTTCGAAATACCTCACTCTCTTCTTTATTTCCAGATGCAATTGCCTCGAGTACTCTTATTCTCGACTGATACTTTTCTTCCCGGGCCTTAAAAAGATTACTTTGCTGAATGCAGTTTAAGAAAGCGACGTGAGGAAACGGATTGAGAAAAGAAGTAAAGATCTATTAAGAATTATGTAATGGACATACAGTTCGTAAATGTTCTGCTTGAGTTGATATGCGGCGCTCAATCTCCTGTGAAACCTTTCTCAACAAGCATGCAACCCTCTAAA